TTGTCACATACTTCGGAAATCAATGACGTGGAACGATCGTGTATTTGAAATTTACTGTTTTATAAGGAACAGCCGTTAATTTGATCATTGGAGTAATATCACCGAAATAAACAGACAACGAAATATTGTGTTGCATTCCAGCCAGAGATAAGATTTGGTGGCAGTGAGAATGTAGCCGTGCAGGACAGTGTTACAGACGCCAGTGTTACAGACGCCAGTGAAGTAGGAAATATCTACTGGAATGTAGGGCTGCAGTGTCAAGAGTAGGGGATGTGTAAAATACCGGGGATTTTGATGGACAGAATATTCTAAAATCAAAGAGAAAATAATCTTCCATTTTTCCCTATTTTACGACAATACAGATATTCTGAGATCAGATAGCGGGGCGTTTAACATCACCCTTCAAACCAATGTAAAATCGTTTAGTAGAGATTTTGACAAGCTGGAGTAGAAAGTGTAGATAGGGTATCAGAGGGATTGAGATTGATTGATATAAACCTAACATTGAGGAGTATATCAAAGACAGACAGGCCCTGTTATATACCACACATGGTGAGACAGATAAGGGCTACTGGTTATGTAATGGTACACACGGTTGTCTGTATAGTACAGGTGCAGGAACTGACGAGGAAAAGTGTAGTTGCTTATAAGATGAAGGAGTTTCTACAGTGCTAAGTGTGTAGACTGTTTTGCATAGTCACTCACGGTCTAAGGACTTTCACCAGTGTACAAGACTAAGGACTTTCACTGGTGTACAAGACTAGGGACTTTCACTGGCGTACACGACTAGGGATTTTCGCCAGTGTACAAGACTACAGACTTTCCCCTGGTGTTCAAGACTAGGGACTTTCACTGGTGTACAAGACTAGGGACTTTCACTGGTGTACAAGACTAGGGACTTTCGCCAGTGTGCAAGACTACAGACTTTCCCCTGGTGCACAAGACTAGGGACTTTCACTGGCGTACAAGACTACAGACTGTCCCCTGGTGTACAAGACTAGGGACTTTCACTGGTGTACAAGACTACAGACTTTCGCCAGCATACAAGACTACAGACTTTCCCTTGGTGTACATTTTCTCCTAGTCACACAAGCCCGCTGTGGTAATGCTGTGTGATGTCCTGGCTGTAGTGTTAGACTGTTGTACGTGTGCCGAGAACCCCTAACGATCCTGACTGTAGTGTTAGACTGTTGTACGTGTGCCGAGAACCCCTAACGATCCTGGGTGATTAACACTATTGATAAGTCATATATATATACTACACAGACAGCAGGGGGATATATTATACAACAGTCTGGGAAAACCATCAAAACATGGATTGTAGACAGATAGTACTGAACAAATGTTAAACAACAGTCTACAACTGGTGATACCCGAAATATTGGACAGGAATATCACTTAACTCGGAATATTGGTCAGGAATATCACTTAACTCGGAATATTGGTCAGGAATATCACTAAACTTATATGAAAAAGTCTACAACTGTCAATACTGAACATTAGCCAGGATTTCCACCAACTGTGAATACTGGAAATAATATTCACCAGGAATTACTTCGAACCAATATTATACAAAATCCTACAACTGTGGATACTTGGAATGTAACTGAAGACCTACTGAACATTGTCATTCAGTGTTATACCACGGTCTAGCTACAGCTGTCAATACCGGGAATAATATTGGACAGAAACTACAAAGTATTATATTATAATCCAAAGTGATTTAACTGATGTGCATTAGTGACAGAAACGTTGTATAGAGATCAAGGAACAGTGAAGTTTTATATGAAATCACCAATATATTGATTAACAAGATAATACTAATTACAGGAATTAAGGAATTATCCCCAATTTTCCTACAGTGTATAAGTGTGTCGGAGACTATTACCGGAGTCGGTTACAGAAACTGGTATACTGAGTCTACAGACGCAGTACTGTTGATGATTCACCGATATTGACATTTATACATAAATATTGTCATCCCACCAGAGTCACTTAAACTGGAGAATAGATATTTTTGAATTTTTCTACATTATGATCCTCCGTCTTAAAAGAAACTGAGAGTTGATGAGTCTACTATAGTAATTAACATTTGTGTGTGTTGTCTGGGGTACAATCTACAACCGTACAGCTTTACGTAACACTATCATTGATCTGAGGACTGGTAGATGGCCTACGTGTGTAACACACAGTCAGAGAGCTGCAGCACACGGCCAAACGATTACCATTGTTATTGAGGGTGTGTTCAGATGGGACTCGTGTCTTGTTAGCACACAGTGTAATAGCTCAGAGCTTGAGGGAGGGACTATAATACTATAGGGTAGCCTTGTACACCAGGGAGAGATACTGATACTGCTGTTCGGGAGGACTTCTGGAATTATCAAGAAATAAGCATCAATCTCCTGTGACATTTTACGATAAAATAACAAGTAAAGATTGAAATTATTAGAAATACATGTTTAAGTTTACAAATATCTTGGAGTTCTAAACAGTATAAAAGTAAGCAGAACTCCATTGAACCATTGTTTGATATTAAGGAACTTGGAAGAAAGCACAAGGTATTGATCAACAGACAGTAGTAGGGGATACAGATCAAGGATCTATGTATCGGCTAAAAACATACCGAGTCCATTTACCAGGAGTGATTCACCGAATTCAAAGGATATTGGGAAATATCAGAAAACACCAGCAACACTAAAATGCTAATGAAGCAATTGTGTGTGTAGGGTCTACTACCTCCCTGCTATCAGTGCTGGACTCATCCGTGTATTGATTGGACTGATCCATTACAGGGTTACAGGAGTGTCAGGGTGTTATTATCTCAGATTGATGCTAGACCTGGATGTCCTGAGCTGTAGATGTGAATGAAACCAGGAGGGAGTGATGATGCTGGATTACACGTATATAGAGTACAGATAAATGTAGAGTGTATCGGTGAGCTATAGATACACAGTGAATGGAACATCATACATGGAGGTGGTGATGCTGTAATTACATGTATAGTGTACAGTATTGTGTCTGGACTGTTAGTCGGCTGTAATTCACGAGTGAGAGACTGAAGTAACTACTACAGAGAGAGATAATAGACTATAAGACGGAGAAACCAACAATGCTTTACCGGGGAAACGTGATATCAGTAATATTTTACTGAAACAACTACTGCAAAGTGAAAGATAATTGACTTAAAAACTGAAAGAGAAATTGACAATTCGTTACCGGGGAAACGTGATATCTGAAGCAACTTCTGTAGAGTGAAAGATAATTGACAGCTCCTCCTTACTGAGGGAGAGATCAACAGATCTTCACAGAAACGTGTTACCAGTAACGTTTTCCTGATGTTTTTACTATAGACAGATTTACAGTGACCATATTTCATAAACCAAGGAAGAAAGCGTCAACAAATTGTCTTAGAGAAATATGTTCTCAGTTATAGGGTGTCCTCGTGTTTCTACTACAAACAGAGAAAAAAAAAACAAGTACTACACAGTCTGGAAAGTCTTGCTTATGATAAGACGGAGATGATTTACAGGTCATGGAAAGTTATCTCCCCTGAACAGACAGGGATTCACCATAATTACGTAACTCCTGTTGTCAGTCAGTGTGTTGAAGCGTGATTACAGCATACTTGATGACCAGACTTCAAGTTTCGCTTCAGTATAATGAATCATAGCGATACGAGAACTTATCTATAAACCTGGCGCTAGTGATCATCGACAATCATCAATATTTATACAAATGTGTTCAGCAAGATGTCAAGGAAATACTTTTTACAATTACCTAGATTTCTGGGAAGGTGCTTTGGTTAGCCAATGGAAACTTTTACAATTTACTGCTATAATAACATTTAATCCTGGTGCTTTTAACGTGATTTTTTTGCTAAAGTTTTAACATTTTTTAACTTAATCAAAACATTTTTGTTCTTCCATATCTGTTTTTAGTGGATTTATACTGAAGTGTTGTGTTGTGTGAACATTGGTGTTTGTCCTGTACCTACGTGTTATATATAGGACGTGGTTGTGTATACAGCTGGTCCACGTGGATGGCAGAAGAAGTACATTTATTCTCCAGAATACTGTATATTTCCGGGGATTACATACGTATTGTGTAAAGCTGGGGATACAGGACATGAGTTTATAATCAATGGATATATCGGTATCCATGTGAAATGGTAGATTGTTCGATGGATGTACCTGTACGTGTAACTTACGATCACACGTAATCATGTGTTTTGTGGATGATATATAACTTCAGATTGTACATATATCGTCAATCTTAGGGATGTAGCTGTATATTGATATGTAACCACGAATAATACATACCAAGTGTGGTGTGGATTGTGCAGAAGGACCTATATCGTGATTATATATAATTATCTCTAGCTTCAAATCATATATAGCCCATGTAATAGGGACCATTTGGATGTACCTTTATCGTGTCTGTGGTCCTATATTATCGTACATTGTACGTAACTTCGGATCGTATATAGTCATGTACCTGTATCGTAAGGATGTATCTATATCGTGAACCATTGGATCGTATGTAATCTTGTGGTTCGTTTGGATGTACCTGTTTCGTGATCGTGTACCGATATATAGTGTACTCTGGTCTGGAGACCTAAACCTTCTTGGATAAATACCTAAGTATTATACATAGAATACTGTGTGTTCGTCAGATCTGTGTTGTAGATATAAACACTGGCCCTCGCCATTAGTTACAGTTGATGTGCTATATTATACCCCACTTTACTCTGCTTCATTTGGAACAGTTTTAGTCACTTAACAGTCTAAAAGATTGACTATTTGTTGAGAATTGTGTTAAAACTTGTATACATACTTTTTCAGAAATTTCATTCTTGCTTAAGATTTATAGAAAATCTGCCTTCCTTATTGTTTAATGTGATACAATGTTTGTAATTTAAATACATACATTGTAATTTTTATATATTGTAAAAGTTAAACATTATAAGTTTGATACATTGTAAGTCTGATATATTGTAAGTGTTATACATTGTAGGTGTTGTACATTGTAAGTGTTATACATTGTTGCAACATCACAGAAGTATCTTTACATTATCGCAAACAACAGTATTGACTGATTATAAACTGTTGAAATTTCTTGAAAACAATCGCAAAATCATGACATTGTGCATGGCCATTGTGTTTTCTCCTGGATAGCTAATTAGGGAACAGAGACCGTTACCAGTCATCACAGTAACAAGGATATTGTTCTTAATGAAGATTGTGGTGATGATCTAATACAGTAGAACCTTGTATAGGAGATACCATATATTATTATATACTAAGAAGAGAACTTGCTTGAGGAAGAACCCTAATTCTGTGGATTATTACACACTGTGCTACAGTAGCTGCTGGTGTTAAAACAAAATTTTAAGGAGTGTGTCGCTGGTTTAGATTTTAAGTGTCTGGGATGTCGGATGATTTCTACCTGTCACTAGAGGACATCCAGGAGGATGATATTGTCATAGGGGAGGATCAGGAAGAGGACCCTGAAGGTAAATACTCAACATGAGGCTTTGACCCAGATATTTGTCTCTCACCCTTCCTAATACTCAACATGAGGCTGTGACCCAGATATTTGTCTCTCACCCTTCCTAATACTCAACATGAGGCAGTGTCTCTCACCCTTCTTAACTCATTAACCCCCCTAAAGACACATTTAAACTTTTTCAATTTAAAGGTTGGAATAGTTCATTATCAAATCTCAGTGGTGAATGAGTTAATTTTTTGAAGTTATAAATATATTTGGTCTTTCAAAATTTTTGAAAATTTACAAGATATTTTTTTAGAAATTGATAATGTATATTTGGAACAAAATTAAGTGCATAATTGATTAGGGAGTTAAGTCCTGTTTTTGTGGGGAAAGGGATGCAGCTGCAAGTTCTAGTTGAAGCTGTTCTATGCAAATGTATAATGAATTAATTGACAAATGTGGACAATGACGGGGAAAGTTGTTGCGGTCTCCCTCCTAAATAGAGAGATCTGTTCTGGCAAGTCTGCTAAATTGTGTTATTTCATGGATTTGAATTTCACTGATAACTCAGGGTATAAAAAATTCTGTGGCAGCTGCACAAATAAAGAACTGTATAATCAATGATTTGCATTGAAAAGATAAATGCTATTGAATTACTGTGATAACAATCAGTGAAATTAGCTATAGTATTGATTTGTACCTGTTCACCCTTCCAGACATAATGGAATGCTCTACATGAATCAATAGAAAGTCCATTGTTCTAGCTAAGGGATGTACATTTTTTAAATTCCCTATTTGCATTGTGCTTCCACAATGCACATTAGCGGTTTGTCGCCAACGCAGAGTTTTGTTGTTTGGGCTGGAGCTGTGGTTATGCACCAAGTCAATACAACCATATGCCATATGGTAATGAGAGTCTGTAAAAACCAGGATTTCAAATTGACAATTACATTTATTGTTACCGTAATGGGCAATGTATTTAAACATTAATCTAAGTTAAATGAAGAATCAAATATATATATATATATCTTGATGTAGAAAAACTTAAGTTGTCCTGTTAGCTTGTGGATGACACTGGCATTATGTAAATGAGCAGAGTTTTATTAAGGAAACTCCATTCAAAATGTTTATAACACATTATTGCCTTAACCATAGGAAATTGAAATAGTGTTTATGTAGACAATTTTTGTTTTCAGATAATCCCATTGGTAATCCTAACTAGCGATCAGTTTAAAGTCATAATCGGTTTAAAGGCATAATTGATAATCGTTCTGTAATTGGAAGTAGTAAACCGATCGATAATCGATTCATAATGTTTTGGGGATGAACCCCAATAAAGTGAGAACACTAGTACTACTATTACATCAATAGACAGAGTTGTTCAATTTAAGGTTTCGTTCTTTTATAATGAATGGATATCAGGCAACTTTTATGCATTTTTATCAATCATATACAATGTACATGTAGTAAAAATCATAAGAACATGGAAGACATTTAAATACTTTGATTTCAATGATGAACCGATTATATTGATTATGGAATTTATAATCGATAGTCGCAATCGGAAAGGACAAACCGATCAATTTTCTATAATAATCAATCATTAGCCCATCACTTATCATGACACATGCAGTTTTCCTTTTAAATTTCAATAATTGTGAACAGCCTTTAATTTGAAATTATATTTTATTTCCATTAAACAACATTGGTACCTTAAGACAGGACTAAATCTGAACAACAGATATCAGTGACACACTTACTAAATCTGGAGTTACTAAATTCGTTTAATTACAGAACTTATTGTATTTATAATAGGCATGTTGAGATTGGCTTCATTTATGAATTGTTTGGGCTAAGTCTAGTTTGCTGGGCGGGTATAATGAAATCCTGTGTATTTATTGGCTGGGATGTGGGCGTAGTTGTGTACAACACAAATATCTACATGTGTCTGGCCGTCAACCTTCTGATCGATATAAATTCCAGCTCTGTCGGTCTGCCATCAATTCCCCAAACAAATTAGTTGCAATGTTTAAAAATAAACCCTTGTTACAAACCGAATTAGTGTTTAACCTGACTTCCTTTATGTCGCTCAATGGTGTGATGAAGCTTTGCTCAGAGTTTGAACGAATATCAAAGTTTTACTTTATACACAAACAATGTACGTGTTAATCTTAATGACTGAAAGGATCCTGGCATAGCTAATAATAATAATAAGAAGAATTTGAGGTTCTTATATAGCACTTTATCTTAACCTAGTGCGTAGGTCGTCTCAAAGCGGTTCACAAATTATTATCCGTGGTTATAGGGCCTTTGCAACCACCCATTACCTTTCTCAACTCCCTGGTGAGCATACAGCCGGAGCTGCCATTTCCGCGCTAACAGCTAGCATTCAACAATTCTAGCACTGCCCAACCACGTACTCATTTACAGCTGGGTAGACTGGAACAAGCGGAGTAAAGTATCTTGCTCAAAGATACAACACAGTGCCGTGCCGTGACTCGAACACGCAACCCTTGGGTCACGAGCCCGCAGTCCCACCACCAGACTACTGTGCCTCCTAATGTGACCTGCTTTATCCCTCTACATTTTGTATTTTCAAATAAGTGGTTGGATGAGGTTACTTTCTACCATATCTACACTAGTGTGACCTTTCAGTCAGGTGACACTTTAATAAGTGGTTGGATGAGGTGACTTTCTACCATATCTACAGTATGACCTTTCAGTCAGGTGACACTTTAATAAATACCCCTAGGTAACTGGACTAGACTCTACCATACATTCATCTGGATGAGTCCATTGTGGTCTACAGTGGTGAAAGGGTTACCAGGTCTAAGTCACAGTTGAAGTCTACATAGCCCAGGGCCCACTTGTATAAAACATCTCAAAGTTAAGGGAAATCTCAAGCAATGTATTGTCTATGGGAAATCTTAGACTTGAGGAAATCTCAAGAGTTGAGATGTTTTATACAAGTGGGCCCTGGTGTATTGAGGTTAAAGACATCCAAGTTATACATTTAGATCTCTGTATTTTGAGAACTTGCAAATGGCAGGATACTTTAATGGGCCATATTTTCACTGAAAAAATGCCCTTAAGATGCCCTGAAATAGCCCTGAATTGTCTGTGTATCTAGTTCAATAACAGTGATGGTTCTGATAGTGCTGCCCATCATTAGTTAAAACATTCCATAGAAAAGCGTTAGTGAAATTTAACAGGAAATTCGCTTCTTTTAAGATTTTCCCTTAGCACCAATAATTATTGCTTGCCTGTAGATATGTTACATTTGCCATGAAGCGTTGGTCTGAATGGTCGCTTAAATGAATATTTTCGAGGTTCCAGACAGATTGATGAATATTGAAACGTTTTTATAAAGTTTGTTGGGAAAATCATGAATATTTATGTGTCTCTCCATGAGTAGTATTTGGTATTTGGTGTTGTTTTGTGTCCGTGTAATGGTGCAGGGTAAATCAATGGCAGTTAGGTACGTTCTGTATACATGTAATAAGCCATCGACCAGACGCCCGCACTTGTTGTCTGAGTCAGCATTTGTCCATAACATTTCTGGGAACGGTGACGAAATTGTGTTGCTTGAGTCTCGTACAGAGAAGTAAAGTAATATAACAGAAAGCTGTGTTTATCTGTTAACTCATTCACCCCTGAAGACACATTTGAACTCTTCAAATTCAAAGGTTTGTATAGTTCATTATCAAATTTCCGGGGTGAATGAGTAAATACCTGTCGAGAAGTCAGAAAAAAGGGGATTCTTTGACATGTCTAATAGACATCCACGCATTTAACAGCGAAATTGATGACAAATTACCTCTTCAACAAGATATTTTCTACTGTTGGATATTCATTGAGTATTTGTCAGAAAGCCAAAAACACAACTGATGGAGGACTTTCAGGCACGTGTAAACTATAGCAATACTGCTTACAAATGTTACCGAGATTATCGTGTATTGATTGTTCTGAACTAAGTGTAAGGAATATTTATATTGTCGGTATTTTCAAGAGCTCTATGCTGGGCTGCGCCACGTGGTACATGGAGTTTCCTAACAGCAATATTAACCCTTTCACCCCTAAGATATTGGTGTAATAATTTCTCAGCAAATATTTTATTTGGAAATTGTTCTCAATTAATTAAAAGACTTAAACTTAAGAGGCGAGTGGAGGAAAAAAACAGTAATTTGTTTACAACTGTTTGAAGAAATATTTGGGATAATTTTGTTTTTAATATCAAAACTTCTTATGAATTATCAAAAATCTAGAGTGTTATCTTTACTTCCGACTGGCCCTCGTCTCTAGAATGTTATAGATATTAGATTATTTAGAAACAAAATTAACTCCAATAATTTTGATCACTTGGATGTCTGAGTCTAGACTAGGGGGAGATAAGCTAGTAGTAAAATGCAGTTGGGAAATCCTTCATAAAAACTTAAGGGCAGCGGAAGCCAGTCTATCTTTACTTGTATAATGCTAATGTCACTATCACATGTGTTTCTACAGATGAGGATATCTCCCCAAACGACGGCGGTCCGATGAAGCCACTGAACCAGCTCCAGGCATCACAGTCCAACATGCCCGCAGGAAGTGATGTCATCCTGTCGTTGCCAGGTAATGCACGTCCAGCGGGCGAGGGACTCGTGAAGCACCACCTGGTGATGGACGGAGGAGTGATGGCCATACTAAGGGAACTACACAATGAACGGTGAGCACTGCTGTAATTATAACCAGGGCGACACCGGTATCGTCACCTCAGTGGAACTCGTACATCACATAAAGGCCAAGATTGTTTTGAACACAAACAGGAATTGAAAACTGATTTGCGAGCTTTCAAAAATGTCTGTTTCCTTTGTCAAGCAAAAAGTTTAATTGACCGCTGTCTCGACTCTAAACCAAGAGTTGTTTTCAGTGGTTTAAAGCCGTCAAACACCACCGGTCATTTACACTCTTTGCTTGACAAAGGAAACAGATGTTTTTGAAAGCTGACAAAAACATTTTCATTTCCTGTTTGTTTAAAACAAACTTAGCCTTTATTGTTCATACCAAGCTGATGAATCTTGTTCTGAAAATCATACATCACATTACGTCAAAGTACATTTCCTGATTGGTTCGGTTTCATTTCAACCTTGTGGTAACTGATGTAATTAGTTACATCCCTTATTGGGTGGGAAAAATAAGAGTTGTTAGGAATAACAAAAACACCTGTTGTCTGAAGAAATAAATCTGCAGAAAGTGAAACTTACCATTAGAAATTGAGGCTATGATGGTTTTCATGAAAAATCCATTAGGTTCAATGATCTCATTCCCGAAGAAAAGTTATAAATAAAATTTACACTAATAGAAACAAAGTGATTGTGAGAAAACAGTAACATTTTGTACCAAGTTCTCTCAAGCCTTGTCAGTTTGACTGTGACTTACGTAAATTACAGGAAACAGTTACGTTTTGTACCAAGTTCTCTCAAGCCTCGTCAGTTTTACTGTCACTTACGTAAATTACAGGAAACAGTTACATTTTGTACCAAGTTCTCTCAAGCCTTGTCTGTTTGACTGTGACTTACGTAAATTACAGGAAATAGTTACATTTTGTACCAAGTTCTCTCAAGCCTTGTCAGTTTGACTGTGACTTACGTAAATCACAGGGAAACAGTTACATATTGTACCAAGTTCTCTCAAGCCTTGTCAGCTTGACTGTGACTTTCAGGGAAACAGGTCCATTTTGTACTAAGTTCTCTCCAGCCTTGTCAGTTTGACTGTGACTTACGTAAATCACAGGGAAACAGTAACATTTTGTACCAAGTTCTCTCAAGCCTTGTCAGCTTGACTGTGACTTTCAGGGAAACAGGTACATTTTGTACTAAGTTCTCTCCAGCCTTGTCAGTTTGACTGTGACTTACGTAAATCACAGGGAAACAGGTACATTTTGTACCAAGTTCTCTCAAGCCTTGTCAGTTTGACTGTGACTTACAGACAATTACCTTAGGTGAACTTTTATGATTATTGAAACAGATATAGGATGTGTATGATCTTGTACTCAAATAAGTGACACAATCACAAAATTGACAACTGATCAGATCTTTAGATGTTAGACTTAAAAAAGAATTGCGTTATACCGGAAAGGTTCTGTTGACAGTATAGGAACATTTCAGAGTAGGAACATTTACATTGTTTTACAATAACCAAGGTTATATTACTGAAGGATCCTCGTATCACTGCCACAAACTGTAGTTACGTGTTCCAAACTTGTTTGTTTAGCATATGACTGTATTAAAGCTTTGATAAATCAATTCTGAAAAGAAAATTATGACTTGCGGGATTTTTATGAAAAATTGATGAAGATGAAATAAGCAAACAAAAAAACCTGTGTTTTGAGTCAGAATTCAGTGGGACTGGCTGAGCTATCTGGTAAATGGAAATATCCCGGCCCATTAGGCCCAACAGTGCTTCAGTATATAGTGGAATGGGGAGTCCTTAGGAATAAATGTTTACACATTATACATTCAAGAATTCTTTATTAGTTCTGCAATTATTAATTGATGGAGGGGCCGCGGTGGCCAACTGGTTAAGGCGTCTGACATTCTGCTTCCACTAGCCCTCCACCACTAGGTGGCGGGTTTGAGAGCCCTCCACCACAGGGTGGCAGGTTCCAGAGCACTCGACCACTGAGTGGCGGGTTCGAGAGCCCTCCACCACTGGGTGGCGGGTTCGAGAGGCTTCCACCACTGGGTGGCGGGTTCGAGAGCCCTCCACCACTGGGTGGCAGGTTTGAGAGCCCTCCACCACTGGGTGGCAGGTTCGACACCTACGTGCAGTCACCAGGTACTGACGGTAGGTCAGTGGTTTTTCTCCGGGAACTCTGGCTTTCCTCCACCAAAACCTGGCACATCCTTAAATGACCATAACTGTTAATAGGACGTAAAACACAAATAACCTAATTATTAATTGATGGTACACACAGAAATACATCAAGGTTATATGAACATTATATTTCTTAGACATTTAGACAAAAGTATTTTGAATGAAGAATTAGCTGTGATTGAATGTTAGGCTGACAAAACATTAACCATCCTGGCTCCGTGTTGAAAGTGAGGTGCGGACGTAATGATGGAAGTGTGGCCTTGTCTATAATTAGCGTAAAACGGAGTTTGTTCGCAGTTCTACGGCTACAGAGCAGTGAGATACCTGATAACTTACGTACCGTACTGACAGTTAAACTCACAGGAACCACATGCAAACACCATCAATAGGAAATTTGTTATAATGCACACATGTTGTTTAAATTTACAAAGAAGAGATGGAAATCAGTGTAGGAATGTTTTCCCTTTCATGATAGTTTGGACTTTAATTTGAGCCAATTTTACAGCAACGGTTCGGTACAGTTGTGTGGTGTGTTTACTGTTAAACTGGGTATTTGACTTCCTCTTACTTTTATCAGATTGGGAAGGATTCCAACTTGTTCATATACAAACTATCTCAACATCATATTCTGTCTATAACAATCAAAACAAAATTATGGGAAATTCTTAAGTTGATCCAGAAATTCTTTGTATCATACTTAGTATTTAAAAAAAAAATATGTCTAAAAATGATACACAGGGCATACTTTAAACAGGTGGCTATGAAGGAAAATAATATACATTTTCACAAATGCAAAATTGAGTTCACAGATGTGTTTGGTTTGTGGTACCTGTAGTTCACATGATCTGTTTCAATGCTTTTGTCAACTGTATGTACCGGTAAGCTCTTGGATGACTTTGATGGTCAATGATATGATGCTGGATGTTGCAGACAAGCTCCTGAACGACCTAGATAATCAATGTTACAACACAGTTTGCTGCAGGTTAATAAGCCCCTGAACAACCTAAGTAATCAATACTACAACACATTATTCTGCAGGTGTAAGCTCCCCAATGACCTAGATGAGTAATATGTTTTTCTTTGCAGGTCTAAGCTTCTGAATGACATAGGTGATGAAGGGAAACAGAGGAAGTGGTACTTTGAGCAGATAGAGGCTATCAAACAGAAGCTGGAGGGGCTGCCATTGTCTGACAAGGTAAGCAACATCTCTACCTTCCACTTATCAGGTCAAAGTTTTATTGGGAACAACAGAGTCATGGTCTTGAGACAGATGAGCTGATTGATGAGGATGGAAATTAGAATGTGGAAGACTTTTTTGATCAATAAGATATTTTTGTTAAAAGGAGGTATATATTACTGAGTCCACTCCTTTTCGCAGAAACAAATTCCTTTTATTGTAAAGTATAATTTGTGTTACACTGTAAAATGTTGAGTAACTTAGATATAGGACAATGTTGTTCATCTCTTGGCGGTTTCAGTACCACAGACAGACTGAGATGGCACGGCGTCAACTTGAGTTTGAGGTCAAACGAGTGCAGGATGCATTTCAACAGAAAATGGGCACCAATGACCAGATAGTTCAGCGACAGGAGGCTAGACTGACGAGGGTACAGGCCATAGAGACAGATATACTAAAGATACAGCAACAACAGCACCAGCTACAGGTAATAGAGCACTGTAGTATACCACAGTTAACACACCTACATGTAATGTACCATAGGTAACACACCTACATGTAATGTACCACAGGTAACACACCTACATGTAATGTACCACAGTTAACACACCTACATTACATGTAGGTGTGTTAACTGTGGTACATTACCTGTAGGTGTGTTACCTGTGGTACATTACATGTAGGTGTGTTAACTGTAGTATACCACAGTTAACACACCTACATGTAATGTACCACAGGTAACACACCTACATGTAATGTACCACAGTTAACACACCTACATGTAATGTACCACAGGTAACACACCTACATGTTATGTACCACAGGTAATATACCACAGTAATAGACCACAGGTAACACACTTACAAGGTAATATACCACAGGCAACACATTTGCAGGTAATACACCACAGGTAACACGCCAACAGGTAATAGACCACAGGTAACACACCAACAGGTAATAGACCACAGTAGTATACTGCAATAATGTGCAATGTTTTCCTAATTATCAGATTTTTGAGGGAAATTCAAAACTGCAAAAAAAATGACTCACAAAAGTATTTGTCGCAAATTTGCCAGATCGAAAAATGTCAATTGTCAGTGATTTATTGAAGTTTGACTGTACTTGCATTGTGTTGATGTTACTTTTGTGTGTTTTCCAGATTGAGGCTACAGCTAGCCAGCAGGTCAATGGGTACAGTCAGGAGCAGCAGGTATGTTGAGTCAGGATTGTGACCAAGGGGTAATGCTCTTACACATCACTTATACTGGGACTGGCAAAGGCAACACTTTAATGTGATATATCTAATACTGGGATTGTGACCCAGGGGCAACACTCTTATATATATATCAGTAATGATTGGAGTGTTGCCCTGTATTGAAATTTTATATATAGGAAGGTCCCAAAATGGTGTAACATATTTGCAAAATTTTGATGAGAAATATTTTATTATGATAAAATATGTTCAATTCCAATGTGAATGATACAGGCCCTTTAGGCATTTTAGTAGTTACCCATCTTCCACCTTTAATAATTGTTTACATCTTGAAATATTTTAGTTATATATTGAACTTGCATTCAAGCACTGCTGAGTTATAGAAGAATTGAGGAGTTCTATAAAAACCCAGTGTAAGTCCTACACAGTTCAACTAATTGTAAGATATTATAGTTTGGTTATGTAACTTGTGTGATTCTAGCGGAACTACGGACACACAGGTGATGATGACGCCAACACATCCATAGCGACACAGACTGCTCCCGGTGACGACCAGAACTCGTCCGTTGTAATGGACCCCGATGCCAGCTTCAACATTGGTTCACTGTATCACGGGGCCTGGCCCATGAGTCCTATGAAGAAAGGTAAGGAGTTGGAGCCACAAAGTTCTCAGAATGCATTAAATTTGGAGATTTCCTAAGATAAGCCCTACGTCTGCTATAGAATTTTTTTGGGGTAATTAGGGCTGAGAATTGAATATGATATTGTTGGCAATTTGATCTGATAATCTCCCAAGTTGTAAGATTGCAGATATATTACTTTGAGGAAAATCACTTGTATATAGAATTTATAATATTTCTCAACTTTTGATTTGAAGGACAAAGGAAGTTAAGTAAATAATTATAATTTATATAGTCATTGACCACTGCATAAGTCACTCTTGATCAATGCTGCCAGGCCTAACCCTTTATCAGGAATTGAATTGTCCTCACCCATCTAAATTTGACATCAGTAAGTGTACTATAATATCCTCTAATATAAAAGTTTTTTAAACTTATTTATTATGACAAAAACTTAAATGTAGAAAGTAAAACTTTGATATTTCTTATCTCCAAAGTTATGAATCTCACTTACATCCTGTTTATATATTTATTTTATACATTCTCTGTAGAAATAAACTGTTAGAAATTTTGCTTTTATTTATGACAACTGTGTCTTTACAGACTTGTCAGGCCGGGAGAGCCGTCTAGCGGAGACGGACCAGTCCACAGAGCTGTCAAGTGTGATGAGTTTTAATTCCACCAACAGTAGCCAGCAGTCCTCCGCGACACCCGTACCCCCGGGGATTGCCCCACCCCCCGGTACAGGCCAAGCGCCACTACCTACGCAGACCCCACCGGGACAGGTGGCACCCCCTCTATCACAGGTCCAGCCCCCACAGGTCCAGCCTCCACCACAGCAGGACCCTGTCAATCCACCGCAGCAACTCGGAACCAAGGTGAAGACATAAACAGTCACATTTACTGATATCATTGTATTGGTTACTGTATCTGTCCGGGGCTAGACATATGACTTACCTTGTTGATTAATATTTGGTTCGTGGAATTTGAACATGGACTTGTAAAATAGGAAACTTCTAGCCAAACTGACCAGTGGCTTTGAAAATTAATTTCTAGCCCTGCTGTCGTCATAGTTACTAACTTGTTGTCACAGTTTCTGTACCCATGGTAAGGGTTACTCTTATGTAGTTGTCACAATTTGGTAAGGATCCTTGTACCACTGCAAAACATTGGAAAAACATTTTTCATCCACACAAAAGCTTTGATTAATTATTGTTGGATTCTTATGGGAGAAAATGGCAAATATAAAATTCACACAAAAAAGTCAACAACAGTGTTCTGAGTGTGCAATTTCAGCATGGTCAGACTAACATATATTTGATGTTGGTGTTATAATTACTATAGTTCTGTTGTCATGGTTACTGTAGGTGGAGATGGTGTATGATACTATAGTTCTGTTGACATGGTTACTGTAGGGGGAGATGGTGTATGTCACTATAGTTCTGTTGACATGGTTACTGTAGGAGGAGATTGTTTATGTTACTATAGCTCCTTTGTCATGGTTACTGTAGGGGGAGATGGTGTATGTCACTATAGGTCTGTTGTCATGGGTACTGTAGATGGAGAGGGTGTATGTTACTATAGGTCTGTAGTCATGGTTACTGTAGGTAGGGATGGTGTATGTTACTTTAGTTCTGTTGTCATGGTTGCTGTAGGTGGAGATGATGTATGATACTATTGTTATGTTGTCATCAGGGGCGGGTCCAGGTGAGGGCGTAATGGGCGTAAATATTTCTTTTTCAAAAAAAAAGAAAAAAAAAAAAACTATCGTAATCTGCTAATATTGTATTGAATATGGCAATTTATCATATTCATTAATTAAACACATACTCTGATTTCTTTTTATATGCTCCAAGTCACGAACCGTTACATTAGTGCATTTCACAATTATTTTATGTTTTTTAGCAAAAAAGAGGTCCAAATTCTTTTTTCAACTCGCTCCGCTCCGCGAAAGATTTGATTCTACGCCCCCTCTTTCAAATATCCTAGAAACGCCCCTGGTCATGGTTACTGTAGGAGGAGATTGTTTATGTTACTATAGCTCCGTTGTAATGGTTACTGTAGGTGAAGATGGTGTATGTTAATATAGCTCCGTTGTCATGTTTACTGTAGGTGGAGATGATGTATGTTACTATTGTTATGTTGTCATCAGGGGCGGGGCCAGGTGAGGGGGGAATGGGCGTAAATATTTTTTTTTCAAGAAAAAAGAAAAGAAAAAAAACTATCGTAATCTGCTAATATTGTATTGAATATGGCAATTTATCATATTCATTAATTAAACACATACTCTGATTTCTTTTTATATGCTCCAAGTCACGAACCGTTACATTAGTGCATTTCACAATTATTTTATGTTTTTTAGCAAAAAAGAGGTCCAAATTCTTTTTTCAACTCGCTCCGCTCCGCGAAAGATTTGATTCTACGCCCCCTCTTTCAAATATCCTAGAAACGCCCCTGGTCATGGTTACTGTAAGGGGAGATGGTGTATGTTTCTATAGTTCTGTTGTCAGGGTTACTGTAGATGGAGATGGTGTATGTTGCTATAGCTCTGTTGTCTTGGTTACTGTAGGTGGGTATGGTGTATGTTACTTTAGTTCTGTTGTCATGCTTACTGTAGGAAGAGATGGTGTATGTCACTATAGTTCTGTTGTCATAGTTACTGTAGGTGGAGATGATGGATGTTACTATTGTTATTTTGTCATCAGGGGCGGGGCCAGGTGAGGGCGTAATGGGCGTAAATATTTTTTTTTCAAGAAAAAAGAAAAGAAAAAGAACTATCGTAATCTGCTAATATTGTATTGAATATGGCAATTTTTCATATTCATTAATTAAACACATACTCTGATTTCTTTTTATATGCTCCAAGTCACGAACCGTTACATTAGTGCATTTCACAATTATTTTATGTTTTTTAGCAAAAAAGAGGTCCAAATTCTTTTTTCAACTCGCTCCGCTCCGCGAAAGATTTGATTCTACGCCCCCTCTTTCAAATATCCTAGAAACGCCCCTGGTCATGGTTACTGTAGGGGGAGATGGTGTATGTCACTATAGTTCTGTTGACATGGTTACTGTAGGAGGAGATGGTGTATGTGACTATAGCTCTGTTGGCATGGTTACTGTAGGAAGAGATGGTGTATGTCACTATAGTTCTGTTGTCATGGTTACTGTAGGTGGAGATGATGTATGTTACTATTGTTATGTTGTCATCAGGGGCGGGTCCAGGTGAGGGCGTAATGGGCGTAAATATTTTTTTTTCAAAAAAAAAGAAAAGAAAAAAAACTATCGTAATCTGCTAATATTGTATTGAATATGGCAATTTATCATATTCATTAATTAAACACATACTCTGATTTCTTTTTATATGCTCCAAGTCACGAACCGTTACATTAGTGCATTTCACAATTATTTTATGTTTTTTAGCAAAAAAGAGGTCCAAATTCTTTTTTCAACTCGCTCCGCTCCGCGAAAGATTTGATTCTACGCCCCCTCTTTCAAATATCCTAGAAACGCCCCTGGTCATGGTTACTGTAGGTGGAGATGGTGTATGTTTCTATAGTTCTGTTGTCTTGGTTACTGAAGGTGGAGATGGTGTATGTTTCTATAGTTCTGTTGTCATGGTTACTGTAGGTGGAGATGGTGTACTCGCTGCTGTCCATGTTGGGGACACACGACAAGGATGACATGAGTCGTACACTCCTGGCCATGTCCAGTTCTCAGGACAGCTGTATCGCCATGCGACAGTCAGGTGAGATCAGTGTTACCACTAAGTTTCAAATGCTTATAGGGTCACTATGTTTGTCTATTGTGAATGAAATATGAAGAAAATATACCAAGTATTAGAAGTTAGTAATGAACACTGCATGTTTCAAGATCAATGTCCAGATGAAACCAAGAATAAAATAAAATAAATTGTAAATGTTTTTAAGCATTAAATAAAAATTTTTGTATTTTTGTTGTGAAGTTGCTCTTGATAGATAATCTGCAGGCCAAAAGAATGTCTTATGGTTATTAATTTAATGGTTTTATATATGTTGAATGGTTTTATATGTCTAATGGTTTATAAATCTAATGGTTTTATATGTTTAATGGTATATCTATTCTAGGTTGTATGCCTCTGCTGATCCAACTACTTCATGGCAGTGACAAAGACTCTGGGTTGCTAGGCAACACGAGAGGCAGTAAGGCTGCACGCGCTCGAGCAGCAGCTGCACTCCATAACATAGTACACAGCCACCCTGATGATAAGCGTGGCCGGCGTGAGGCTCGGGTATTACGATTGCTGGAGCAGATTCGTGCCCACAGTGACCAACTGAGGGACGGACCGGAGGAGGAGGAGGCAGGTCGATCAGGTTGGTATTTGTTATAAAGTATGTGTCTTGTTCAAGGTTAGATATGGTGGTTTTTTCAAGTGTGGATGAGTTGTTAGCCCTGGATGGTAAATACACAGGTTCGGAGTTAAAAGTTACAACCTTACATTAATTGACATTGACTGGAAGGGAGATAACTCCTAGTCTTTTGTAAATTTTTGTAAAGATTTGGTATTGTTACTTTATTGGGAATCCAATTATCATGTGAGTGTAGTATTTTTTTTTATATTTTTCCTTTGCTTAAAAGCTTTGTGAAACAGTGCCAAAAAAAAGTATCAGAACCATCATCCAAATCTTGATGAAAATATTTATGTTTTTCCAAATTATATAGGTGCACAGGTACAGCTGCTGTAAAATTGAGGTAGAAAAAAACACTTAAAGTGACTATATCGAGAAAATTTGAATTACTGTGAATTTCTTTGGGGTTATGTTTATTGTCTTAACTGGCTCGCACAGCAGTCACCAGATAAACAAGTCAAAGTTAGGCCAAAATAAAAAAAAAAACATGTTTGTTTCCCCTCGCCCGACCGGGTCAAAAATAAGTCACCGAGTCAAAAAAGTATTTGTCCCCCAAAAAACGGACTTTTTTTATTCCCGAATATAATTCGTTTCCATTCGGACATTGGTTCCGATATTATCGGAAGTCTTCCAGGAACTCTCTTGAGTTATTTATCAATTTAGCGGTATGTATCGAGGGTAAACTCAGTGCCTACTTGAAAGATGGGCGACAAGATCGCATTGTCGTCTTCTGTACGAATTAAGTATAATATAATAAATATTTCTTTCCATAAATCCATGATTAAATGAGAAAAAAAATTCGTGTAAAAGACACAAATAATGAGTTTTTTCCTCTTTCGAAGCGAAGCAGACAACATTGGTCATGATTTTCTGGTTAGTACAAAAACGAATTACATGCAATGTTCTACAAACAGAATACAAACTCATTTCGTTCCGTTTGAAATCCCCTCTGCTATTTTGTATCAACCCAAGAAGCCATGTTGTAAAAGTAGGTCAGAGAAGTGATACAACGACGGACAAGCATTTTGAGTGTTCTATTCCTTAATATATTATATATTTGTGTCTGTGGCATACATATGGGATAAATATTATATGAACAGTGAGTAGACATCGTTGTCATGAACTGTGAACCACTAAAGTCAGTTTTTCTAGCCGATTTTGTTCCGCCCGGATTTCGGGTGGAATCTGCATCAAAGAATTAGTGCTTCGGAAATAAGAGGTTGCAGTCGCAAAATCATATCCGATTGAAAAAAGGCAGACCAGTGGTTTCTTATGTTATAGGAGTAGGCTATTAAACGGTGTGACTTTTGAGCCCAATTTTGATTTAGAGTAAAAACGAAATCCAAAGAAATAGACTTTTGTCAATTAATCTACGGGCCCTTTTGATTCTAGTCATTGTGTGTTCGATTGTTTTGTTCTAGTCAGATACTTTAAATGTATTATTATAAATACATATATATATTAACTGCAAAGTTTGATTTTCTTAATGTTATTTCCAGTTTTATATTTTCAAGATTTTTGTGACACTGGGTAAATATCCTGGCAGTGAATACATACAGTATACATGTATAACAAGCAACAAACTGTGGCAATATGGAATCCACACCTTGTCATACATGTATAAATATGTTATTAATAAAAGCTTTAATAACTGTCAAATCAGAAAGTAGTAAATATACACTTTAATGCTACATTAGTTTTATGCACTAAATGTGCATATTTTGAATAGTGCTTGACATCAAAAGGATTGATAATCTGAATAAATACACTCAAATTGAGCACAAACAACTGATAAGTGGCCTGACCAGTTAAACCATCCATGACATCCAGTTGAAAAAAAAAGTACCTGCCTGCCTGGTCTGTTTACAAAGAGTAGACCCGGGGTAGGGGAAACAAACATTCTTTTAAATGTCTTATATTACTACATGTATATAGCAGGATAATTATGTGGGGCTGATACTTTTCGTAATTTTGCGGGTTAATTATCCCAAAAATATGATTCGCACAATAATATTGCAATGATAATAATAATAATAATAATAATAAGTTTAGCATAGCTGATCTTCCACAGGGTCCTCTGTTAGTAAAAGGGTTAATTAAAATCATGATACAATAGTAAACAAATGAACATTCAAATCATTATCACAGTAAGCCTAGGCACTAAAGCGTAAAAAGTAGCCATGGCAATGAACTATAATGCTGTCATGAAAAATAGGCATGTAGTTGTGATGATTCATATACATAAAGAGTAATGTTTGAAAATAGATTATGTTACTCATCTAAACGTTTTGTCAATATGTTCAACAGAATACATGTACACTTACTTGTTGTTGCTCAATATGCTGTCATATTTGACTATTTCATATGCAAAACATCATGTCTCTGTGCTAAAACATCGCCAAATTTCGGTTCCTTTACATGTCTACATTTTGAAATTATAACCTGTGTTTACTTAATTTTAAACCCGTGAACATCATCTGTTATGCAGTATGTACTATTTAAGTTCTATATCTGATATAATTATATAACATGAAAATGCTGCTTCAGTTTCTATTTTTTTTCTCAAATATTCACAAAAGTAATTATATAAACTCCATTTCCAGGTAACAAGTCCCATGACACGGACCACCATCCGGGCCCTGCAGTGGCAGCATTGATGAAACTGTCGTTTGATGAGGAACATCGCCACGCCATCTGTAGTTTAGGTATGTAGTGCTGTATTCAGCACACTTTGGCCTCACTGATTTTCAATCAATTCATTAACGATAATAATATGTTATTTTGTAAAAATCCTAAAAAGTTTTAAATACTGATTTCAAATTACTAAAAAAATATCTTTTCTACAATCACTGTCATGGGAAATATGCATTTTGAAATTCTGAAACAGAAATTAGGCTGAATAGCGTAACTTTAATTTTAATATTTTCAATTGTTGTACTTAAATAAGTTGGATCACATGGTTATTTTTTCCTGTTCAATACTTAATCTTAATTTTCCATTTCTAATATGTGTATAACTTCCCTTTGTTACAGGTGGCGTGCAGGCAATTGCGGAGCTTATCCAGGTGGACAATGATGCACACACCAACACGGAAGAGCAGTATAACATCACCATGCGTCGCTATGGCTGTATGGCCCTCACCAACCTCACCTTCGGCGACGGAACAAACAAGGCCCTGCTCTGCTCTATGAGAGGATTCATGCAGGCGCTGGTCAGCCAACTACTCTCCTCCTGCGAGGATTTGTGTCAGGTTGCTGCTAGTGTGCTTCGAAATCTCTCCTGGAAAGCCGACCTCGCGAGTAAGAAGACATTACGCGAAGTTGGTGCAGCAAATACGCTCATGAAGGCTTCCATGGAGGTGAAGAAGGAGGCGACGCTGAAGAGTATTCTTAGTGCACTGTGGAATCTTTCCGCTCATGGAAGTGAAAATAAGGCAGACATATGTTCAGTAGATGGTGCATTGGAGTTTCTTGTTGGAACTTTGACTTATAAAAGTCCATCAAAGACGACGGCAGTGATAGAAAATGGTGGTGGTGTGCTTCGGAACATTTCCAGTCACATCACGGTGCGGGAGGATTACCGAGCCGTCCTTCGTAAACATGCGTGTCTACAAATTCTTCTTAAACAGCTGCGTTCAACAAGTCTAACCATAGTTAGTAACGCATGTGGTACGCTTTGGAACCTCTCTGCCCGCTGTCTGGAGGACCAGCAGGCATTGTGGGACATGGGAGCAGTGGGCATGCTCAGAAATCTCGTGCACTCAAAACATCAGATGATTTCGATGGGAAGTTCTGCGGCGTTGAAGAACTTGTTGAATGCCTGTCCTAATATAAAAAACATGAACATGGACAGAAAGACGAACTTGAACCGTCCGTCGCTACATGTGCGGAAACAGCGGGCATTAGAAGCAGAAATAGATCAGAATCTGTCCGAGACTTGTGAGAATTTAGAGAGCCCCCGTGACAGTCCGACAGAGAATGGACGTAACACTGAAAAAGACAGTAATTCTCGTTTTCAATTTCCGGCTGGTTCAGGTCATCAGGTGCAGCAGGAACATGACTCGCGGCGAACATCCCGTGGATCCTACTACCAGAGCGGTACACGAAGCGGGGATAACACCCCAATGTCTGACAGTCGCCTGATGTCACCCAAACGAGTCGCCAGATCAGGTAGTCAGGACAGTGTAGGCAGTACTCATTCTGACATATCACACGATCGCAGTCGCTTCCGTGCAGCCATGCAAAATGCAAGACATTGCCAGGAGAGACAAGGAGGAAGTCTGGACCGAAAAACTTCTGGAGGGTCATCAGGGCATCAGTACGGAAATTCGTCTTCTGAGGAGACGGGATCTGAGCAAGGGAGTCACCAGGGTCAGCCCCACTCATCAGGGGCTCACATAGGACAGGTCATGATGGAAGTAGAGAGAGACAAGGCCTCGTATCCTGTGAGGGGAGACAACTCTAGTCAGCATGGCCCCCCTACCCCAGGGGGGCCAGCCCACCAGCTGTATCGAAGCTTGCCTAACTCTGTCTCCTCAATAGGCCCACAGCACATGCTTCAGAACCACCAGTTTGTTGCTAGCGCGCCTAGCAACTGTAATTCTAGTTACCCTTCCGGCCAGCATTACTCACAAGCAAATGACAATGATCAACCAATTGACTACAGCCTCAAATATCACGATAGTCAGGCTTCGTCCACCTCCAGTTACCATGACAATCCACCATCACAGCAGGGCTCAAACAACAGAAAGGTTAGTGGGCCAGTTACTAACATGGGCCCACCTGCTCAGCCTCCTCCCCAATCACAGCCAAGGGTAAACAACTACATGAATCCTGGTTATGATCCCAAACAGGCTGTTCCAAGGTTTGTGCACCACCGACTTCTGGGAGAACATCCTCGACAGATCAATCCCGGACCGTTTATGCGCCCACCGCTCCGCCCGATGATGAGACCTCCCATGTTACCGCCGGGCACAGCTATGGTTCCCCCTCGGTTCAGTACTTATGCAGAGACTGACCTGGACAGCGATGACCAGCCAACAGACTTCAGTCGCCGGTACAGCGAGCAGCATGAGGAAGACTATCGTGACCAACCAATATCGTACAGCACACGCTTCCAGGAAGGAGAGGGGCCACGTTACCAGGAGAGCAATCCTATACACATGCGCTACCAGGACACAGACCCAAACTGTGCTGATTGTAAACTTGAGGAGGCACGCCGTACCAACGACAGATTGGAACAGTGTACGCACAGTTTCCATGACGACCAGGTGAAAACTTTCTACACTGAGGGCACCCCTCTCAATTATCTCTCCCTGGCTGCCTCAATGACAGACCTGACAGGGAAAAATGCCGACAAGGAGGAATCTGAGGAAGGAGAAGATGAAGAGGAGGAGGAGGAAGTCGCTAATGATGAGACACAGAATTTCGGGTCCCATTACAAGGAATCAGAAAAACAAAACACCTCTTCTGTACTTTACAGTGGCGATGCTGACAATCGAAGTGTAACACGGCACTGTGAGTCAGACATACGCAGTGGGAGTGGAAGTATGGGCACGGACCAGCAGACAGGTACCACAGTGATAACTAACTACCACCATACACCCCCAGGCAGCCCGCCACCCCTCCTTGATGACACAGAGGAGGTCAACGTCATGGAGAGGTCATTCCATGCACGATCAGATGACGACTCAAGTCAGGATCAAATAAAGACGTACTGTGAGGAAGGCACACCCATTTGCTTCTCCAGGGTGAGTTCTCTTAGTAGTCTACACAGTACAGAGGCCCAGGACAAGATCGGAGCCGAGGGACTTAATCGCCAGCTTGGGCTCACTAGCATCAACGAAAATGAAAACAACAAATCGTCAAATCGTGAGATGAGTCCCAGTGATCGCAGGGTCAGCACAGGGAAATACACACCGTTGATGGGCCGTCAGAAGCTTCTTAGTGACTCGGATACACAGAGCTCTGAGTACGAAAAGGAGCACAAGACGGTGACATTCGATGACCACCACCACGTAGAAGAAACTCCGCTGATGTTCTCGCGGTGTAGTTCACTTGGTTCCCTCAGCAGTTTTGATGCTCACTCTGTACACAGCTCGGTGATAAGCGAGTACAGTCGACGTGCCAGCGAGGTTGTGTCACCCAGCGAGCTTCCTGATTCTCCAAGCCAGACAATGCCACCAAGTCCCCGAGGAAAGTCACCTCAACCTGACGAAACTTCGAAAGATTTGACACCCAAGAATTTCAGTGAACCAACTGGGATTAAAGGATTTGGTGGCTCTCTTCCACAGAATGTGGTTAAACCCATGCCCTCCAACATCAACAAAGGAACTGTGTTTGTTGAGACAGCATCAATAATGGGCAAGGACGATCGGCCGACTGTATACGCAGACGAGGGGACACCCCCTCACTGCTCGGATACCAACAGTATTCTTAGTGCCTTGACAATTGATGATAGTGATAATACCAAACATTCAAAAGACACTGACAGTGAAGCTTCCAAACGTGCAAAGGACTCTGATTCCAATGATTTGACATTGACTCATGATCAGGAGAAGGAAGACGACACAAGTGTCTTTAACCGGAACGAGGATAAGGAGAACTCTTCAATGTCGGAAGTGTCAGAGGGTGAGGAAGACATTCTCAAACAGTGCATTATCTCTGCCATGCCTCCGAAGATGCGGAGAAGTTCATCTGATAATACCATCAAGAAAAAGTCAACACAATCTAAGTCAGATTCCCATAGAAGTAAGATGCCAGTGAAACAAGGCAAATCTAATGGCAGCAAGTCAGCTCTGTCTCCGCCCTCCAAAGGGAAGACGTCACGAGGGGGAGGTAAGCATCATAGACAGATTACGGAGGAAAACCTTCAGGAGGATACAGTCAAGTCATATGCCTCTGAGGACATACCAATGTCAAGGCCACAGGGTCATCTGATGTCAAGGTCACAGGATAGTTCCATGTCAACCTCGCTGGAAACTTCTTCATCAAGAACACAAGAAAACACTATGTCAAGGTCACAAGATTTCCTGACATCGTCCCTCATGAGAGTGGCAGAACTATGTAATGATCCTTTTGAAGTGCCAAGTACAGCACAAGGTGTGCCAAATGGAATTGGACAAAATAATCAACAAGGGATGCCAAATGTTATGGGACAAAATAATATACAATCAAGCAATAAAAGCCGAGATCTTCCAAAAGGAAATCGACCACCAATGAATGTAGGACGAGTAATGCCAAATGTTTGTCACCCTCAATCTTCACACAAACCAAAACCCCTGCTGAAGTTACAGGATATTCTGAGGAGAGAGGAAGATGTTTTGGAGGATAGTGATGATGTGCCAATGTCTTATGCTACCGAGGATACGCCACTCATGTCACAAGCCGTTTCCCCAACAACCAAAAAAGCACCTGTAGACATGTTTAATATTGAAGCTGTCGCCAAAATTGATGTTCGGGTGGATGACGACATTGTGAAGCCGTACGCAATAGAGGGCACACCATACAATGGTTCCAACCCGGGCTCACCGTCACATAAGGCTGAGGACCCAGTGAGCACCGCCCTACATAACAAGGTGACGCTCGTCGACCTGTCTGCTATAGAACCCTTCATGCCTGACGATGGGGTTAAAACCTACGCCACAGAGGATACCCCCATCAACTTCTCTACCAACGGATCGCTAAGTGATCTGAGCATCATCACTAACATGACAAATGAGCTGCCTGAAACATCAGAGATGTCACCAGTGCCGGCGACCACAGCGGCTGAACCCGTGTCACCACAGGCCACTGCCACACAGCTCGCTATGACAACAGTTGCACAATTGCCACAAAAACAGCCAGAACCTCAACTAGAAGAAAACCCACAACTGGACGATACTCGTTCGGACTGTAGCTCCCTCCTCGATGAAAGTGACGAACTTTTGTCCGAAATTATTCTCTCAGGGATGCCCAAAGGCAAAGTGTCGCGCAAGTTAGACATGGATCGTGCAGTGGAGGGATCGGAAGTCAGGTCACCAGTCAAATCCAGGGCTTCTAACCTCTTCTCCTCGGAACCAAAGATAGTGTTCCAGCCGCAGCGCACTTCTAGTCACATTTCAACTGCCATGAACAACCAGCCCACCTCTAGTCAAATTATAAAGGCGGCAGATAGCCAGGTCCCGTACAACCTGCCTGACTCTACCAAGACTTACAATATGGAAGGAACCCCCATCAATTTCTCAACTGCTACCTCACTCACTGACCTTACCTGTGATCCTGAGGAAGATCACATCAATGCAGGGGATCCATTTCAAAACACAACCTCACAGAACAGTCGCCCAGACAACAGGACCTCTTCGTTGCAAGAACCAGTTGTGAACTCGACATCGGCGGGAATGGACCAATCAAGTGGCAACATGCTAGGTACTACTGGTGACGATTCTGTGTTTGTGCAGACAATTGAATCATGTGACTCAGTCAAAGTATATGACATGGAAGGTACACCACAAACATTTTCCCGTAATGATTCTCTTAGTTCCTTGAGTATTATGGATGAGGACATTAAAGGGGATTTATCTTCAATGTCTAAGTCCAGAAATGACAGGAGCAAAACAAATGTGACCAAACCACAGGAAAAACTGACGTCCACAACAGTCATAAACAGCAGCATTGAGCTTCAGCGTGAGGTCGAGGGTCAATCCAGTGACGAGACAAAGTCACAGAAATCAGAGTTAAGAAAAGGCTTGGAGGAACAACCAAAGACATTTGCTGTAGAGGACACACCACAGAGCTTCTCTCGGCGTTCATCACTGAGTTCGATACAGAGTCAGGACGATGCAACAAAGAACACAGAGGAAGTAGCACGTAAAGTTGATCCAGCAAAGGACCAGGATGAGAAATTTACAGTGGAGGACACCCCCGCCGATTTCTCACGGAACAGTTCACTCAGCTCACTGAGTATGGATTCCGACATCTTTGAAGCATCTGAACAGGCTTTACTGGATGAGTGTATCAGCCTTGCTCTGCCCAAGAGTCGCTCTGCAAGTGCCAAGCTGGATGAGAAATCAAAAAGTAAAATTCCCCGTAGCAGTCCTTGCGGAACTAGCATCCCCAAGAGAGATGGAGCTGGAAAAGATGGAGCATCAAGGAACGGGATGTCTAAGGATGGAGCATCGAAGGACGATTTGGTTAAGTCTACCAGACAGGACAGACAGTCTTTGGACGCAGAATTAACCAGACCCAATGAGGATTCTCACCGACTAGAAAGATCATTTGATGCCAGTATGCTGCCATCCATGAGACCCAAAGAGAAACAGACAGATTTCAAAGTGCCAGCATCGCAGTCTATGATGATACCTAGCCGCAGTGGCAGGAGATTAGACCGCAAATCAGCGGACACATCCAGGCGGTCTGAAAACCGCTCGTATGATCGTAGTGTTGAGAAGGACGCTCAGATGTATTACCAGCGCAGCTGGAATCGACAGCATGTGAAACAACAATCCCGTATGACACGCAGCTGCTCGTCAGCTGAGGATATGAGTTACCAAGGGGACCAGTACCATGAGTCGCGTATCGCCATGTGGCAGCAACAACAACAACAGCTTATGCAGCAGCAGCAGCAACAACACTTGCGTCTTCAACAGATGGCCCAAAATTTCAGCGCCGGCCAACAACAACAGCTCCAACATCACCAACAGTTACAACAGCAGGTACAACAACAGCAACAAGAAGACATGATGAAACGCGGGAGCTGGCGTCGTTCTCGTTCTCAAGATAGTGACGGATTTCTGAAGCGACAGAAAGACTTCTCCAATATGGAGATAGCCCAATCTGTTTCCACCATGCCTCATCGCTTTCGGTATTCCATGGAAACAGTTTCGACTAGTGCAGCAGCTGAGAGTTACCAAGACAACAGGGTCATTGAGGAAAGGGAAACTCGACAGCGCAAGAGTTTATGGAACAGAAGATCATCAACTGAGAAACTATCCAAGCGTGATTCTAGCAGTAGTATAGAGAAACAGGATAGTGAGAAGTCTGATCGTGACAGCTATAGCTCTCACAGTCGCCGCAGTGGTAGCTATGGTAACGAGCAGAGACTGAGTGGCAGCAGGCACAGTGTTGGTAGTTATAGTAATGACTCCAGACACAGTGTAGCCAGCCATGACCAGGACCCCAGAGGCGCAAATTTCTCTCAGGATCCCAGACATAGCAATGCTAGCTACAGTAATGACCTGTCAAATAGCGAACCCAGCACTAGACGAGATGAGGAGGAGGCGGCTAAAATAGCCTTAAACAGAATAGGGTACCAGCCCCCAGATACTTCAGACGGGGCCACACAACGAAGTCCCTTCAAATACATTGGACTAGGTATTGACAACTTCGGTTTTGACCCAGCCAGCTCTAACGAAGACATCACAGAAAATGTTGACAGCGCCGATGTAACCATGACGGAAAACTTTGGTAGCGGAAATATGACAATGACTGATGAAGCAATGGAGTATATGATGCAAAACGGCTATGTATATTACGAAGATGCATCACACTCACACGAGCATTCATTTGAGGAAGAAATTACACCAGATGATGAGCGGGCACTGGAAATAAATGCCAGCCTTATTGTGAACGAGATCCAGAGTCGGCAAATGATAGGCAGTGCAGTGGATGATGATATGTTTATAGAGAACGAGACATTATCTCTCGTGTCATGTGACTACACATCAGATACTGCATCAGAAGTGTCCGGTACATGGTCAGCCCATTCAGAGAACTATTCCGAGTCTACTATGTCTCAGACAGATCAGTCAGAAAATTCTAATGCAGGGCCGAGAATCCTTAAACCTGGTAGCAAGCCTAGTAGTAAGCATGTAGTGCAAGATGACGCAAAAGCAGTGCGTGGTCGCCGCAAGCCACTGTATAGTCCTCGAGCAAACATGACAGCGCCAACACCGAAATCTACACCAAATCGCCAGGTGAGCTCCACTTCACGTAACGGGCAACGTCCAACCCCTAATATAAGCAATAAGTCACCAAGTACAGCCAAAGGAACCGAGGCTACAAACTCTCGGCGTAAAGCACCCAACCAAAAGACACACCCACAGGCCAGTAGTACGCCTACTAAAGTAGCACCAGTAGTGAGTGGAAACTCACAGAGGTCAAAGATTGGCAAACCATCACCACCAGAGAGGAAATCTACTACAGTGCTCACCTCACAAAGGCAACAAATCTCCAATAAAAACAGCCCCAGTCGCTTGCCAATGGCGTCGCAAAACCGTAAGGGGAGCAGTACTGACCGACCGAAACCCCCAGTCAAACAGGGCACATTTACCAAAGAGCCTACGGGAGTTAATGCTCCAAGGATCTCCGACTCTGAATCAGCTTCAGATACCTGGTCCAAAGCTCTGGGTAACTACAACTTCACTGATTCAACATCACCTGAGGCCGCCAAGGAGAACACACAGCCAGGAGTAAGGAGACTACAGGCGCCCAGTAGTATTCCTACAAAAAATAGGTCAAACAGTGGTGGAAATACAGCCAATAGCCGTAATGGAACTCCAAACGGAAAGCCTACAACTAGAGTATCGTCAAATCTTAGCAAACCTAGTGGGAGTAACCTTAGGAAAACTAACAGCGGTTCCTCACTGACTAAGACAGGAAGTGGGTCTTCGCTTTCTAAGACAGGAAGTGGATCCTCTCTGACGAAAACTGGTAGTGGGTCGTCGTTGTCCAAGACTGGAAGTGGTGCCTCTCTTAATAAGTATGGAAGCGGAGCTTCATTAAATAAGTCTAGTAGTGGAGCTTCCTTAAATAAAGGAGGGTCTAATCCTAACCTTAGGAAGTTTGGCAGTAAAGGAGAACTACGAAAGTCAGACAGCAATGCAAGTTTGAAGAATAATTCACGCCCTTCCACACCTGTTGGAAGGAAAAACTCAGCCCCAGCTCCAATGGCCTCTCATAAAACAGAGCAGAAGACCACTCCCGGTAAAAAGCAGGTCAACAGCAAGGTGGCCAGTCTGTGGAGAAAAGACGACGTTGAAGACCGTGGTTCACGACTTCCTGTATCCACAACTCCGCCTCAGAAATCACCCCGAGGAAACACCATCAACATGACAAACAGTCGCCTACAGCAACCGAAAGGACGCACTAGTTCCCCAAGTTCCCGAGGTGAAGTCCCAGGTCAGAGAGTGTCGCCAAATACTTCTAATGCCAAGTCCACGTCGCTGGATGAAAGTGACGGAATCAGTCGGAGCTCTACCTACGACAAGATCAGTGCTATCAATGACTCAAGTCAGTTGCCATGTTTAGATGGTTTCGTTGAAAATACTCAAAATGTGTCCATCAATATTATTTCACATTCCCCCGAACAGGACACCAGTGGCGAGGAGAAATATGACATTGAACAAAAATCAAGTTCTGCCAACTCCATTGACCATGGTATGTCGAGTGACAGTGTGTGTTCGCCAGATCGCGACGGCGGGAGTGAAAGTGAAAAAGAGGCTGCTGATGACTCTTTGTTCAAGCACCCTTCTCAGATGGACCCCTATGGCCTTAAGGTGCTAAATCATCGTGTTGACTCCAGCACATGGAAAAAGAAAAAGTCGGAGACTTTAATCGGAGATTTACCAAATGCAGATGACACCAGTAAATCCCTTGAGGCTGTGCGGGCCCTACTTGATTCGTCAGCAAGTATGACAGACAGCATGCTTAACTCTTCAGTCACAGAGTACAGTTATCTTGGCCAGGGCTCTAGTTATCTCAGTCAGGGGAATCAAACCATAGACAGTTCATGGCGGCGAAACCGCGACGAGTCGATCTCAAGTTTCGCCCAGAGTGATGACGAAGAATCCATTTGGGTGAGACGGGACGGGGACACCTCACGCTCAGAGCCTGATTTCAGCAAACATGGTCTGTTTCGGTCAAGTAAACGTAAATCAAAGGGAGGCAACTCTGGCAATAAGAGTTTTCTACCTATTAAGGCGATGAAACAAATATTTAGTTCAGGTAAAAGTGTCAAGAAAGTGTCGGAAACCAAAAAAGCAGCATCAAGTATGTCCCTCTCCACCTCCAAGGAAAGTCTGTTCAAAATTAACAGAAGTGACACTTTAAACAAAAGTGAAATTTTTAACAGAACTGATTCATTTGATGAGGAAAATTCAAAGAAAAAGGACGAGCAACATTTAAAGAAAAAGGAAGAAATACAGACAAAGAAAAAAGAGGAAATTCTTCGAAAGAAGGAAGAAAGTTTGAAGAAAAAGGAAGAGAGCTTAAAGAAAAAACAGGAAAAAATTGAAAAAAGAGAGGAGCAGAAAAGAAAGGATGAGAAGAGGAAGGAAGAGAAGAAAGCTGCAAAGGCAGCGCTTAGTAAGTCAAAGTCTCAGGAGCTGAGGACAAGTCCCCAGGCAACAGTTCCTCCGTTTAATTATAAACCCACTCCTACAAAGGGGGATAACTCGGTAACTAACTCTGCTAAAGGTAGCACCACCCAAACAAAGACGGTACCTTCTCCAACAAGGTCTAACAGTGTTAATGATGAAAACAATCGTGATCTAGAGGACTCTTTGGTGAAACCTTCGACTCCGAGGAAGAGTATTCCTTCGCCCGGCGGACACGCTACTAAAACAGAAATGTTGCAAGCCAGACGTAAGCAGACCTACCTTCAAAATCTGAGTCTGAAGTCGGAGGAGAATGCGACAGTGGAGAAGGGGCCGCAGGGCTGTATCGTCACCACTGTATAGATCTGATTGGTAAATTTCAAATCCTGTAGTGCCAGGTTTATTACATCACTTGATTTTCAAACACTAAGGATCTAATGTTGTGAATATGATTTTAAAGTTCTGGGTCTATGTGAATATATGGATGTTCAAGGTCTCGGTGTGAATATATGGATGTTCAGGGCCTCGGTGTGAATATATGGATGTTCAGGGCCTCGGTGAATATAAAGAGGAAATTCAAGAAGCCAGTAACTTTAACGTAGATGTTCGACATTTCATGGAATATGTTGTGGAAATTAAGGACCACAGTGAATATTAGATTGAAATTCTGAGTGAAAAATCGTGTGAATTTCATGATCAGCACACAGTGAATATAATGCAGACATTCAAGACAGGAGTGAATATTACGGAAATTCAGGTCAGGAATGAAAATCATGTGAATTTCAGTGACGCAATAACTATAATGCAGGAATTCAGGGAAGCTGAAGTGAATATTATTTGAAAGTTGATAATCATTGTAAGCTTTAATTTAGACTTCTGAGTGAAACAAGTTTTCCTGTTCAAACTGAAGTCTGTGTTCAGACATTGTTTTTTACTCGTGGATATTACCCGTGTGATAACAACCGTAGAGAAGTTGCCATTACTCAGCGGACAAATTTTACTCTCTAGTGATTTTATCGACCACTAAACACAGAACAATATGAAGTTGATAAATGTCATACAATGGATATAGTTGTACATTTGGTTCGACAAAGTTTACCAAAAACTCCTTAAATATATAGTGTTCTAGTTTGAGGAACAGAATCTTATCCTGTGTACTACATGTTTTTATGTGTGATGTGGATTAAGGACCACAGATAGACTTGGTCAATCAGTCAATAATACCATGAACAGTGATCACATTTCAAATGGTGCAACATTTAATTGTGGATATATAGGTTCACAGTGCAATGAACTACAGAAATTGTATGTCTGTGAGGTGCAGGTTCATGGTGTAACCAACTATACAAAAGTTATATGTGAGTGAAGTTTCATAGTGTAATTAACTACATAAGTTGTAGGTTAGTGTTGTGAAGGTTTGTAGTCCAATGAACTATTTTACTGAATTTTATGTCGGTAAAGTGAGGACTCGCAGCTTAAAGAACTACAGAAATTATGTCAGTGTTGTGAAGGTTCAGAGTGTAATAAACTACATTCAAGGTGAAATGAACTACAGTTGAATCTCTGCTACCTTGGTATTGTGAATAACATGCGTGTACAAAAAATTCAATCTGTGCTTTGTTGAACATTTTGATGGTGCAAGTTCAGTCTTTTGAAAGTCTGTTTCCAATGAAAACTTTTATCTATCATAAAATTTCATAGCAATTTTTTTTTACTTCTTTGAAGATTTAAAATTTCCTTAAAATTTGCCTAAGGATTTTTCAGTATTTTTTGTTAGATATTTCTTCTAAAAATGCGAAATGGCATTTCCTAAGGCAAGTCAAGTTTTAAGCGCCTGGTCGAAAATGAAGTGTGATGCAGACACACTTCAACATACTAGATAACTTTGGTTCATATTTTATTGTTGTTTCATTAAAGGATGAAGCATTTCTAATAAATTTCTAAATTATTGAACATCATTAATCCAGCCTCATCCCATTAATCCAGTTTGTTAAATCAGCCAACTTTGTCCCCATGTAATTGTTGCAAAATCAGCTTTTTAATGGGAAATACTTTCGTAAAAAAAAAAAAGGAAATTGTTCCTCCCAATCCACCCAATCGACTACATACCTGAAATGGACATTTTTCCTTCAAATCAACAGTATTAGTATACATGACTGGATTAATAAGGATTGAAACTGGTCCATTGCCGTTGATAATTGATTAATAAGGATTGAAGTTGGTCCATGCCGTTGATAATTGATTAATAAGGATTGAAGCTGGTCCATGCCGTTGATAATTGATTAATAAGGATTGAAGCTGGTCCATTGCCGTTGATAATTGATTAATAAGGCAGTATTCACTCCCACTATAATTGTTGTGGCAATTTTAATTTGCTACATTTCATATAATTCAAATGCTAATAAAAATCCATTGATGCTCGTGACAGATTTCATCAATAACATTTACCTACAGGTTTTCAATTTCAAGTGCCAGTAGCTACTTCTGTTGATGTTTTTAGGCTCCAATTTATGTTGTCATAACACAGACAGAACAGGTGCTTTTCACTTAGTCAGGTAGGCCAGTTGTTATTTTGTTTTACACATCACATATTACCTTATATATCTCTCAGTCGAATTAAACATATTTAAATTTGTTTTTTCACACATTCGCTCAATTTCAGGGCGTAGCAATAGGTTAATATTCTGTGAATGACCTTAACTCATTCACCCCTGAAATTTTATAATGAATTATTCCAACCTTTGATTTGGAAGAGCTGAAATGTGTTTTAAGGGTGAATGAGTTAACATTAGCTGACCTTAACTTTTTGTGATATTTGAGGTTGTGTGAGCTGATGATTTGTGAAATTTATCTTGTGGCTCTGATTTTTTTTACCATTAAAATGTAGAAAAAAATACCCAACCTGCATCTATACAAGCAAAACACCAAAGTCTTCGTAATATCAACTAAATCATTTAACCGAGACATAAGATCGGTTGTTTTTAATTACTTTATCGCTGGCAATATTTTTATTTAAAATCAGTAGAGATTTTCGTGCTATTAATAACATCCTATGTGTGCAGATGATCTTTAGAGTTAAAATTAATTAAAGATCTATTTCATTATACATTTTAATATGTTGATGACAAAATTTTCAGCAAGCTTTTTGTTCCGATATGTAGTCCGGCAGCAAAGATTTGTCATGTTGACCTTCCATTACATTATTACAAGAGAGTTGATACCCATAGATGGGACCATTGGTAGATTTATCTCCTTTGGAAGCTTATAAATATTCACTCGAAAGTAATAAGAATATAACAGATTTAATACCAATATTGCATTTAATAGATCATTTAGCTAGCAGAATAGTTCGAAAACAGGTTACAGGAACTGTATATTGCGTCAGTTGCTCAATATGAATATTCCACTTACGGTCAACATGACAGGTCATTATGCTCCGACTGAATTATTTTATGTATTAATTTAGAATTCATGCTGCCATTCCCTTGATCTTCTTATAATTGTCCTCGAGTAAAATAGCATCCAGGGTGGAAATGCGATGTTTTTCAATAATGTGTGGTAATTAAGAGTCATCACTTTGTGTGTGGTATGATCATGAGTCATTAGTTTCTGTGTTCAGTTTCTGTTTGGTAGGAATCACCAGCTTCTGTTTAATTTGACCAGGTGTCATTTCCTAGTTTCATTTTAAGAAAGTTTTTTTTTTAAACTTAAAATACTGATATATATTGTCTAGCTCTTTTGTGAATGAAGTAAAATATAATCTCCATTATGCTGCCTTTATGAGAGTTTCAGAGACCAATGATCTCTTACTTAATACCTGTAGACATTTGTCTGAATGGGTGTTCAATTATTATATGTAAAACAAACAGTTACCTCCCTTTGTATTCATCATAAACATTGTCAGTGTTTCCCTTATGATACTGCTTTCAATTGTAGTCAATTTTTGTGGTAGCAATGCACAATCAAATACTTGATTATATTAATCCTTTCACCACTGTAGACTATAATGGATTTACCCAGATAAATCTGTGGTTAAGTCTACTAGGGGTGAAAGGGTTAACAGCAGATTATCCTGCCAAAGACAGCGGCCTGGTACGATGTATTGTAAGGTGACACCAAGTGCACCTGCCAAGTGGCCGTTTAATATGCACGATGTGTAAGAGTTGGCGTGATGAGCTCTGCAAAAGACAAGATAACCAGCGTCAGTAGATTATCCACAGCATTAGTCTATAGTGATGGGTCATGTTGACCACTTGTCAAATCTCCCTGTTTTTGTGGGAGTCTACCAATATTTCACCGTCATTTTTTATCAGGAGTAGAATTTTGTACCTGTTGCGATTCGGTAAAATTCAATCAATTGTCACTGGATAGAACAGCTTCAACTTTGACACTTTCCAGTCTTATTTGATCAAAGTAGACATTTTATGAATTTGCCACACTGTTTATCTGCATGAACTGTTTAACAGGTGAAACAACTTTTCCGTCGGTGTTGCAGGTGTACAATTTTATATAAAGCAGTTATTGTTTTCTGGAAGTCATCATTTAGAAACCTATTTAGTCCTCATTTGTTCATTAATTATAATTCTACCATGTTGTCTTCAATATAGATAACGCTTCGAGTCTTCCTCAAGCTGAACCCAAATTTATCTCCATAAATTTGGTTTGAGGTGAAGTCAAATTGTTGGAGAAAAAGTGTGGCAAAGCGGTTTTGAGTGTGGGTGAGATTTGTAATGCCTGGTTCGGGAGGAGTGTTACTGGTTGTGGTGGGGACCTCTGGTTGTGCAATATCATGTAAGCTTTAAATTACCATTGACCTAGCTTTAAATACGAGATTCTGGCCGAGGGCTGACGTTTTGTGATAGTTTATTATGTCATTGTCAGACAAGTCACAATCAATATATATTTTGTCTTATTTGAAGTCAATTAGATGTCAACAACTGAGTATTCCGTCTTTTCGTATCGCAGAGTTATCTTCTCTTGTGAGCAGGTATTGATTGTTATGTCATTAGTTTGTGTGAGAAAGTTATGTCGTTTTCTCAAAAGTTTATGTCGTTTTCTCAAAAGTTTATGACGTTACTCTCACAAATAAATGATGTAACAATCAAATACCTGCTCACAAGAGAAGATAACTTTGCAATAAGAAAAGACGGAATAACCAAGTAGTTTTATTATATTGGTGAAACCAAAACATTTGCAGTTAACCAGGCCACCTGAGGAATTAGTTTTCTATATATAGGCATGGTCTGTTTTGGACTGTTGGATGTAATCCTCAGATTTCCAGGGGTTTCACTCTTACTTTCTCTGCACCCCTGGATTATGTCATGACGAAATCAAAGGCACGCTGTTAGCTATTTCATTGTTTTCAGCTTAAAATGACTGACCAATGTCTAAGCTGTCCTTTTAAGATTACAAAAGGGGGATGCCCGAATTCAAAGCTGGATGATTTTACCATTACTCTGCCACAAAATATTCTGTTGATGTTCGTCTGTTCTTCAAAGGATCAAATTAGCCTGCAGTGTAACATCCATAAGGTAGCGCGTACAATACCAGGTCTTTGATTTGCTCATGTCATATTCTAGGGGGTAATGAACAGAAACAAGAGTAACCCCGGGAATTCTCAGGATGCATTGGATGTTTACAAAAAAGTTCCTTGTCAAGGGAGACAACCATGACGAGACTTCAATCAAAACTTGTATTTAACACGATTTTCCAGGTATTAGTTTTTTTCCATCGAACAATGGTACTTATATATACAGTTTTCTTCCTTTGTTATTTTTCTGAAGTTGTTTCATAATTTAATTTCGTTTTTAAATAAGTTTATTCTTATCGTAAAATACATTTGCATAAGTTTGTATTATTTTCTAAAAAAATAAATATTTTGTGACATTAGATAATCTTTCATAAAAAACATTGTACAAATCGCCTCGCTATTTCTAGTGATTATTTTTGGAGCGATTTGCAATTTTTAGAAAAAGTATACTCAGTGTTATTCAGGCTGCTGATCTGGACATATTAAGTTATCAAATAGCCAGTAGTTGATTTCTGATTGATGGATTCAGCAGACTAGCTTGAATATTTTTTGGACCAATTTCCACCGAACTTTCGCCTTGTTAATATATGATATTAAAAGGCTGCATCTGTTTAAAACTTAATTGTAATACAATGTTGCATCATATTTTAGAACGTGTACATTGTTAAAGACGGCCTCATAATGCAAACCCTTGATATATAGGTGGTGTGTGTCGTTTTCCCAACACTTAAAAATGTTGTGTGTTAGGTTTTTTGTGTAGTTTTCCCAACACGTTTGTATGTTGTATGCCTGAGGTTGTGTTGTATGTTGTATGCCTGAGGTTGTGTGTGGGTTACATATGTAACTAGTTTGTATGTTGTATGCCTGAGGTTGTGGGTGGGTTACATATGTAACCAGTTTTACCACGTTACTAGATATGTTCGTCAGAGGAAACTACAGACATGCATTCATTGTAAAAACAAGACATTCATGTAACACTATCTATTATTACATTATATCATTTTTCACTGCAGAATATCGACTAGATTTCCCTACAGGATTATACTTACCTTTACACCCCTATGTAGCTATAGTAAACTCTAACATGCATTGATTTGGATGAGTCCATTATGGTCTACAGTGGTGAAAGGGTTTATCTTCTCTCCAGTAAACCGGGAAAAACACAATTTCCTGACAAATATATCTGGTAACGGTAATAAATTTATGTGACAATATTTTATTTATCCACCAATATTTTGGATAAAGCCCTGCTGTGTTGGTTGGCTTTGATGTAGATATATAAACCAGAAACACAGGCCCAAGGCTAGTATGATGTGTATAAGGACAAGAAAGGAGGGATGAATGAGATAACCGATGAATGAGATGACGGATGAACGGACAAAGCGTACTAAGTTTCTGTATATACAAGCCTTTAATATGAATTTCACAATGGCTTTGCCTGGTGTAAAGTGAGGTATATAAAAACAATTTTTTTTATTATGAATATTGTTTTGCTACAATTACTTAAGAGCTTTGTTTTCATAAACATTTGCTTTGTTAAAATTAAAAATAATAACTAGTGCCACCAGTTGTAAATATGGTAGCATTGCCAGTAGGTTTAATCTCTAGATAACTGCCATAGTATGTGTGTTGTAAAAAATCATTTGTTTTTTGTCAAAGATTGTTTCGAAGAGTGAACAATTACTTAGCATATAAGTGTCAGAAGAATTTATCAGCAAGTAAATGTATATTTATTCCTGAAGCAAAATGTCTTTGTCTTTATTTGTCTTTAATTGTCTTTATTTTCTTCACTTTGTCTTCTTTTACACTAAACAAACAATGAACCCAAAACGGGACACTTTTTAAAAGAAATATCCATTCCAAAAATGTTTGTTCATTTTTCATAAAAAGGTACCATCCACTTTACACTTCTATTACAAGTTGGTATTTCTGGTGCGTGATTATATAAATAGAAAGCAAAATGCTATCAGGGTCACTAAGGTCCTTGAGCAGGTGGTATATATCTGTATATGTATGCCCCGTCACGTCCTAGGGACCAAAGACGTTACTCAACGGTTATGAATTTGTGATAACTTGTTTTCTATGCATATCATGAACAATAAAGATGATCAAGCACTTGGCCAAAGTGATCTTGAACGTTGCTCTACATTCAAGGTCACATGGATAAAAATTGATTACAACATTTAAACTTTTTATCTGAAATACCAAGAGGCCAAAATATTGATATATGCCCAGTGGCTTGCTGGCAATGGGTGCTACAAAGTTTAGGAAAAGGAGTTACCTACACGTACATCCAAGGCGACGGGTCAGTTTTGTCAAAACACGTAAATGGGTTCTTCTGAGGAACCCAAAGGCCTATAGTCTATTTATGGTATTGTTCCTCAGTTCTCAGGAATACTATACTCCTCCTTTATACAACAATATTTACCAATGACCAAGTTTGCTTCCAAATCAGATTTTGGGTTGAGATCCGCATGTATACCATGGGCGGATTGGTCGAGTGGTCAACACTTTGGCCTTCCACGCCGGTGGCCGGGGTTCGATCCTTGAAGTCGTCGCACGCATGGAATATCAGAGAAAGTGTTTTTCTCCTGCCCACATAACTCCAACAACCCAGGTGGAGTATAAAATGGTCTGGGGTTGATGTTGCGGTATCTGTGCTGTAGCATTCAAGTGAGATGGCACTATAAAAGATGCCGTTGGACGCACAGTTCCACTACAAAACAGAACTCGATACATCTCCAGCACACACATGGGAAGATATTAGCCAGGTGGCATAGAACTAGTAGTTAGCGTCTGATAAGGCAGCTCCTGCGAATTCCTCAAAATTGTATTGATTAATGTATATGCTAAATTGTGTTAATTGTATATCTATGTACTGTAAATCGATTTAGAGTGGCTTATGTTAGCTAGATAGGGCGCTATATCAAATTACGATTACCTATCTGTATTTCGATAAAGGTCTAAGGGGCATGATATGATACAGTTAGTTACAGTTAAGGCCACCTTGAATGCCTCGTGCCTCGATGGAAGAACAACAATAATCAGAATTCAAATTGAAGTTACAATAATCGCTGATATTACAGTAGATCAAAGGACCTTAATGTTTCGACCTTGTCCCCTTGAAATCGGCCCATGCAACTCATTTGCTAAAACAAGAAAAAACAAAAATCAACCTCACGAACGATACAACATTGCATAACGCCTAATTTCCCCACAATGGTCATCTCAACAGTATCCGTGTAATGACTACGATCACCTTTCTGTGCCTATCTGTATTTCAACAAAGGTTGAGGGGGCATGATATGATACAGTAAGTTACAGTGACGGTCGCCCTGAACGTCTCTGGCTTGGGCTTGCTGATGAGGACGATTGATTCCTGGAGTTGGTTCCACTCGGGTGTAGTCCTAAATAATAGACTGTGCTTGTAGACTGGGATTGATGCTTGTATTGGCTCTACCAACTTTGAGTGGTTTATTCGAAGTTTCTGTACCGTGAAAAAATAAAGTGTAAACATTTTAAACTGTAATCGGGTGGAAGTGTCTACATCATTCTTACAAATCATTGATAAAATATGTTGCTTATGTATTTATTCCCAGAACAAAATTAAACTGGCTTGAGCACAAAATGCGAGTTTAGGCATGAGGACGGTTTCATGTATACAGGCCCAGGTGTAGCAGAAGGGAAAGCGTCTGCTGCTTCAACGATGACACCCGCCATGGCAATTTAGGTCAAATATAAGTAATGTCACGTCCTCAAATCAAGAACTCGAGTTAAAAATACTTTTGATTCAAAAAGTGTATACTTTATTTATGTTTGTTTGACCATAATTATGTAGAATGAGTTTTTGACTCAGTAAATTATAAAGTGGAAATAAAGGTATGACAACAAAACCACAAGGCTCACTAATGAGCATGATTAAAACATCGACTCTCATATCACAAAGCAATAGCATATTTCCATTTGATATTCTGATGGCGACCATAAAACTTTTCCATAGTCTTCATCAACCTTATGACGAAAGCTTGTCCGTCAGCAGACGACATCTATGAAGAAAATCATGATATTCGGAGCATGTTCTCTAATACCGAATCAACTTCGACATGTTAACACCGTAGGTATGTAAGCAGTAATGCTACCACCAAGAAAGGAGAAAATAACGATAGGAAAGTCGACTTCGTCGTTTATTGTACATTTTAGTATCAAGCTGTTCCTGTTATGTTGAAAGTGAAGAGTAAAAAGGTTGAGGAGGAAGTGTCTGTAGTGTCTTTGATGTCAAGCTCATGTGGGTATTTACGATCGATGTGGTCAATACATTAATCATTATTCGAAGACAGTAAATCGTCAATAATGAATGAAAATTTGAACTCGGTTTTTATTACCAGTCCGTATAAGCGCATCAATAAACTCAGCTTCATATGAAAACAACAATGAAATCGGCTAAAAGAGAGGCACAGTTTGTTCTGATCGGAAAGCTTGCCACACAACTAAGCACACCTTTGTTAACCAAAAACTCCATCATTCTCATGACTTAATCTGTTGCGCTTTTCAAAAGATATGTCCCTAAAAAAATTACAACCATATATTTATATGAGTTTGTTTAAGCTATTCAAATAATGACTCTTGGGTGGTTGCCTGGCACAGATAATAGCGCACTTGACTTTCACCTGATCACGTGGGTTTTCTCCGGTTACTCAAAATGAAGCTATTGTCTATGCATCTATAATAGCATTACTGTAGATATTAATCGGCTCTCTCCTTTTACAGGAGAGCGGTTCCTTGCTATGTACCAGGCATAGTGTTGCAACATCAAGATGAACGCGTCTTCAGATTCAGTGCCTATTTCCACCAGCTCTGTGTCAAGCACCTGGCAGTACGTCTTGAACAAGCAATGGGCTAATTAGTGTTTCAGTTTCTAATAAAACGAGTTTGTGAGGACTATCGATGAATATTCAACATAAATAAGAAGGCATGCATAGTTGTATTCACCCCAGGAATTTATCAGACTCTTATTAAGAGAACATTTGGTTTCTATATGTATGACTACTAAATATATCTTATTCAAACTTGTGTGTCATAAATATAGACTTTGAATGCATATTTGTACTAGTCTGTCATTATGAATGTAATTGTTTGTGTTTTACTTTGAGCGAAAGGTGAACATAAAAACTCACAATGTGAGTGAATTAAATAATCGAAGTGACCGTAACAATTGAAACTGTTCATCGATACATTTCAGTGTATATACGAAACAAAGCTATAAATAAATACAGCTCACGGTATATGGGACTGACCGAACGCTATTTATAGCTGCAGTTCCGGCTATAGGATAAACAAACGTGGCACACTAATAATGTTCAGATTGACGGAGAGTTATCTTTAGAAACAGTTACAATGTAGGAGTATTGCGAAAAAAAGCAAACGTGCTTAATTTAGAGTATTGAGCTTTCCAAAACCGCGACCATCTAGTCTTAAAGTATTATATCATTTAGTTGTATAGTATCTGTAATGTGGGAAGCTTAAAAGAAATATATGCTATGCAGTACGTGTATATGTATAACGGAACTGGACTGGGTCGATCGTCGGCGACCAGATAGTTCAATTGGTAGAGCATCTGTCTAGAGTTCGGAGGGTCCCGGGTTCGAACCCCGGTCTGGCCGTGCATTTTTCCTCTCCTGTTACATTTGGCGCCCAACGAAATATACCCACAGAAGGTGGTATAGGGTCTCGTGTGTCTTCGGGGTCGAAGACTTTGTTAAAGGAGGGAGGAATGTAACGGAACTGGACTGGGTCGATCGTCGGCGACCAGATAGTTCAATTGGTAGAGCATCTGTCTAGAGTTCGGAGGGTCCCGGGTTCGAACCCCGGTCTGGCCGTGCATTTTTCCTCTCCTGTTACATTTGGCGCCCAACGAAATATACCCACAGAAGGTGGTATAGGGTCTCGTGTGTCTTCGGGGTCGAAGACTTTGTTAAAGGAGGGAGGAATGTAACGGAACTGGACTGGGTCGATCGTCGGCGACCAGATAGTTCAATTGGTAGAGCATCTGTCTAGAGTTCGGAGGGTCCCGGGTTCGAACCCCGGTCTGGCCGTGCATTTTTCCTCTCCTGTTACATTTGGCGCCCAACGAAATATACCCACAGAAGGTGGTATAGGGTCTCGTGTGTCTTCGGGGTCGAAGACTTTGTTAAAGGAGGGAGGAATGTAACGGAACTGGACTGGGTCGATCGTCGGCGACCAGATAGCTCAATTGGTAGAGCATCTGTCTAGAGTTCGGAGGGTCCCGGGTTCGAACCCCGGTCTGGCCGTGCATTTTTCCTCTCCTGTTACATTTGGCGTCCAACGAAATATACCCACAGAAGGTGGTATAGGGTCTCGTGTGTCTTCGGGGTCGAAGACTTTGTTAAAGGAGGGAGGAATGTAACGGAACTGGACTGGGTCGATCGTCGGCGACCAGATAGCTCAATTGGTAGAGCATCCGTCTAGAGTTCGGAGGGTCCCGGGTTCGAACTCCGGTCTGGCCGTGCATTTTTCCTCTCCTGTTACATATCAAAGGATGTAAATCTTGAAAAACAGTTTGTTCCATTTATTCACCACACATTAAATACTAAGAAATTTGTTAGCGTGTGATGATATGTGATGAAAGCATTATTTCATCAATTATTTGTATTCTTTCTACATTCCATATGCTTCCAATGTATAATTGTGTTCAGTGTCTCTGTAGATAAACAAAACAAC